TAAAGCAAATAGGGGTAAATATGCAATCCCATACCCATCTACATTAGCATGGAGGAAGGAGTAATAAATATATTTGCCTCCTTGAATTATTTATAAAGTAATAAAGCATGGATAAAATAATGAATAAAATGATATGCATAAATCTTAGTAAGAATAAATGGATTTGCACAGGATTATGCTGAAATTTTTGTAAAGTATCAACCGTACATTTTAGGCATGAAGAAAACTTTTTAAAAAATTTATAATGAGAGAATGCTGACAGATTTTCCTTCACAGATTGCTAAAACGTATAGTTTACAAGAAACTCTTTTTAATCGAATAAATAAGTTAATATAGCAACACAGCAATAACAAATATAATACAAATATTTTAGATTACATCAATAATTAATAATCAATAATTCTGTTTATTTTGACCAAACTTACTTGGAAATAAATATGAAAAAAATGTTATTATACCGTTTTTTCCTATTTTTCAGAAGCACTTGAAATATTATGCAGTCTTTTAACACAAAATGTGATTTTAAAAAAACCTAGAAAATATGTACTTTTAAACTGACATTATTTTATTGATTCTTTCCTCAAGGCACTGCAAATCTATCAAGGAACACCTATTCAATTACAAGGAGTCCTTAATTTATCACCTTTCATTCAGCAGTGGTTGGAAATTGTAGCAGTCATTTTAGCCCATGGTATGATGTGTTTTAGGGATGCGAAAGGTCAGCAGTTCAGCGGTTCAAATCCCTAGCGCCATCTAATGGGGTGAGTCCCTGTTACTTGTCCCAGCTTCTCCCAACCTAGCAGTTCGAAAGCATGTAAAAATGCAAGTAGAAAAATAGGGACCACCTTTGGTGGGAAGATAACAGCATTCTGTGCACCTTTGGCATTTAGTCATGCCGGCCACATGACCACGGAGATGTCTTTGGACAGTGCTGGCTCTTTGGCTTTGAAACGGACATGAGCACTGCCTCCTAGAGTCGGAAATGACTAGCACACATGTGCGAGGGGAACCTTTACCTTTATGTTGTGCTTTATGACCACATAGCTTCCCAATTGTAGTCATAGGTCAAGGACTATTTGTAATGGGACTTCCTTCATACTTCTCCTTTAACTATGTGTCATGCACATTTCATCTCCCAAAAAGACACTCAATCTTCCGGAAAAGATTTGTAAGACATTTGGCATAAGAACTACTATTCTGTTTTTGTGTCAGATTGGCAAAGTGGGATGCAATCCTATATGTGAACAGCAAACTGGATTTTCTAATAAAAGGAAAAAGAAACAGAGCTCTTCTTACACTGCTTGAATGTGTAGAAATTCCCATTTGAAATGGTTAATGGTGCATTTTTGTTTAAAAACCAAGTAGTCCTGATACCTAAGGGCAAAGTCAAAAGAGGACTTCCTGAACTTGCTATTTCCCAACAAGAAAGCAATCAGACTATATTAATAAGAGTAGCAATAACACTTAGACATATATAACTTCATAGTACTTTCCAGATCTCTCTAAGCAGTTTACAGAGTCAACATATTGCCTCCAACAATCTGGGTCATTTCACCGCCCTCCCAATGGCCATTATAAACATACCTCGTACCACTGCTGTCCACTTGTGTATTGAAGTAGCACACAAAGTGGGTCTGACTTGGAGCTAATATCTTTATCCAGGAGATTGTTACAAGAAACAGTCAGTTCCACCTTTGTTACACACTGTGCCGCCATCTGCAATAAGATTAGAAAATCAATTATCATGTGTATCCTGCATATATCAATAATCTGTTATCTTGTTTAGCAAATTGTATCTACATGTAATTTTTGAAACTATATCCCTCCAGCTGTTATTGTACTTAATGTCACTTAATTTATCATTTATTAGACTTTAATATATCATCCCATGTTATCCACTGCTTATATTGTCTATTTACTCTTGCTTTCAATCAAGCACCTTGTGCAAATATTAAGACAGATATGGGTAATACATGAATTTCATATTTTCAGAAACACGGGGTCGATATACACTTCTTTACTTTAGATGTAACTTGAAAATCACACACTTTATGCAATGTAATCTCATCTAGTAAAGTTTGCTATGTAGTGTCACAATCTTAAGGATATCATCAAATGCATATTCTGTAGTTTTAATGTTTAGCCAACTGTTTCTTATCCTGCTATGAGCAGTTTCCAAATATTTATCAAATCTACATCCTATCAAATTTTAAGTATCTCATAGTGAATCCTCCATAACAATGTGTCAAACAGAATAAAAAAGAAACACATCATGAATATAACTAGTAAATGTGACTGGAAACCTCTTAGACTTTTTACATGAAACAAACAAAGAAAATGGCATGTGGTTTTGATAACTGGGAAAAAAGAGATTATAGAAAAAATGTAAGCTTTGTAATTGAGAGCCAATTTGGTGTAATAGTTATGATGCTGGCCTAGAAACCAGAGATTGAGTTTTAGTCCAGGCCTACGCATGAAAGCTATGAGGGTTAGGTTGTTGTAAAATAGGAGGAGGAAAGACTATTATATATGTCTGCTACTTTGAGTTACTTCTAGAGTAGAACTTTCAAACTCCCGGCCCATGGGCTGGATGTGCCATGCACTGGCCATGCCCATGTCCAGTTTAGCGAAGGGGGAAAAAGTCCCGATACGTCACGTGACTCCGCTGAGATGGTGTGAATTTGACACCCCTGTTCTAGAGTAATAAAGGCACGATGAACAACTGTATAAAGTACTTTAATAGGTAAATTTACATTTGTCACTTATAACTGCTATAAAGACAATTGAAACCTACTTCTGTCTATATTTTTTCTTTCCTTCTTGCACTCTTGTCTTTTTTATTAGTTCTTGCTAGTTTTTGATTTTTAAAAACTTTATTAAAGCTACACACACAGACATCACACAACTAGTGAACTAGTTAAAGAAACCAAGCTTCAGAGGCTGCACAGTCATTCTTAAGGGCCTTCCAGAAGGCCCATTCTTCAAAATCTCCTGGAACACAACTGAGGAGAACAACATAGCTTCCAGAGAAATGGTGATAAAAAAACCACCTTTCTTTGTACCCCTTCTCTTATGAACCTGGTATATCATAAGCAATGTTTCCCAAGGAATAAAACGTAGAACATCTGTGGGCTGTTTTGTCATAATAGTCCTATTAAGACTAAGGAAAAAATACAATAATGTACCGGCACATTAGTGCAACGATAACACTGGGTCCCATAATGTCATGTGATAATCTAAACCAGAGATTCCCAATTGGTGGTAAAGAGGGGACTCAGCAGCAGTATAAATGGGACCCATGAAAAACATTTTAAAATAATAAATTACAAATAGAATATCTTTCAGCATAATATCCTTTTCAGAAAAAAATACAACCTTGTACTTCTGAGGGAGCCAGTTTGGTGTAGTGGTTAAGCCATTAAGACATCAAGTTACAAATCCAGAGCTTTAGTCCAGCCCTAGGCAGCAAGCCAGCTGGGTGACTTTGGACCAGCCACTCCCTCTCAGCCCTAGGAAGTAGGCAATGGCAAAATCCCTTCTCAAATCTTGCTAAGAAAATTGTAGTCTTGTCCAGGCGGTCACCAGGAGTCAACACTGACTTGAAGGCACACNTACCCAAGTATTCAAAAAGAAAATCATATCTGCCATACAGAACTTGTTTCAATAAATATTAGTATAAAAAGCAATGATTATTATGGCTCAACCACCAAAGTAGTCAAATGTCCCAATATATCTTCACCCATTCTTATTTTTTAACTGCAGAATCATAGAACGTAACAGAAGGAAGGATCTTTGGAGATCATCTAGGCCAGGGGTGAAATCCAGCAGGTTCTGACCAGTTCTGGAAAACCAGTAGTGGAAATTTTGAGTAGTTGGGAGAACCGGCAAATGCCACCTCTGGCTGGCTCCAGAGGAGGAGGGAATGGGGATTTTGCAGTATCCTTCCGCTGGAATGGGGTGGGAATGGAGATTTTGCAGCATCCTTCCCCTGCCACACCGACTAAGCCACACCATGCCCACCAAGCCATGCCCACAGAAATGGTAGTAAAAAAAATTGAATTTCAGAACTGATCTAGTCCGAATGTAAAATTCACTATTTTATCAACTATGTTAAACTGAGAGAACCAGTTTGGTTTAAGTGCTTTAGATGCCAAGCTAAAAACCAGGAGTGTGACTACTAGTCTCAACTGAGGCATGAAGCCAGTAACTTTGGGCTTGTCAGTTTTCCACAGCCCTAGGAAGGAGGCATGTAAAGCCATTTCTGAAATCTTGTCAAGAAAACTGCAGGTGTATCTTCAGGCAGTTGCTGGGAATCAAAACTGAATTGAAGGCCTGCACATATTCACTCACGCACATTAAATTAGAAAGATTTTTAAGTAGCTACTAGTTTCGTGCTTTTAATTTCTCGGAAATCTGTTTTTATTTTAAAGACAATTTAAAATCTTCAAATTGCTTTTAAAGAGTATAGTTTTTTTTGTTGAAAAGGAGATGGACAATAAGTAGCAATTTCTTTGATTTTCACTGTTTGTGTGCAAGGAACATTAATTAACCAGCATAAATGGGATTTCAAGTCATGCCATTTGCTGGATCAAATTCAATAGTAAATGAACTAATTACAGTTTCTAGAATGAAACCAACAGAAAGCACAAATTAACTGAAATTATACAAAAATCTGTTGATCAAGCAATGGTTATAATAGAATGTCCCTTGTCAAAATAAAGGTATCTTGTCAATGTTTTTTAGCCTTCCCCCCTCCCTCCCCCATGGCCAATGCTATTATATGTTAAGAAATGTCCAAAACCTGTTTGCACATACCTGTGCCAATGTGCATTCAAATTCTCCTAAGAAGTCATCATCGTTCAGCTGAACAGTTGTATTGTCAATGTCAAAAACCCCAAATTTGAGTTTCTGAACCAGTTCAAAATAGTAATCAATCTGGAATTTCTTGGAAAATTTAGGGTTCAAACTGTTTTTGATCCTTTCTGTGCGATCAACCTGCAATATAGTACAGAGGTTCGTCACATATTTTTTTTCTCAAACTTGTTGAGCATTCTGAAAAATGCACTCTCCCCCAGACAATTAAAGCAAATAGGGGTAAATATGCAATCCCATACCCATCTACATTAGCATGGAGGAAGGAGTAATAAATATATTTGCCTCCTTGAATTATTTATAAAGTAATAAAGCAGGGATAAAATAATGAATAAAATGATATGCATAAATCTTAGTAAGAATAAATGGATTTGCACAGGATTATGCTGAAATTTTTGTAAAGTATCAACCGTACATTTTAGGCATGAAGAAAACTTTTTAAAAAATTTATAATGAGAGAATGCTGACAGATTTTCCTTCACAGATTGCTAAAACGTATAGTTTACAAGAAACTCTTTTTAATCGAATAAATAAGTTAATATAGCAACACAGCAATAACAAATATAATACAAATATTTTAGATTACATCAATAATTAATAATCAATAATTCTGTTTATTTTGACCAAACTTACTTGGAAATAAATATGAAAAAAATGTTATTATACCGTTTTTTCCTATTTTTCAGAAGCACTTGAAATATTATGCAGTCTTTTAACACAAAATGTGATTTTAAAAAAACCTAGAAAATATGTACTTTTAAACTGACATTATTTTATTGATTCTTTCCTCAAGGCACTGCAAATCTATCAAGGAACACCTATTCAATTACAAGGAGTCCTTAATTTATCACCTTTCATTCAGCAGTGGTTGGAAATTGTAGCAGTCATTTTAGCCCATGGTATGATGTGTTTTAGGGATGCGAAAGGTCAGCAGTTCAGCGGTTCAAATCCCTAGCGCCATCTAATGGGGTGAGTCCCTGTTACTTGTCCCAGCTTCTCCCAACCTAGCAGTTCGAAAGCATGTAAAAA